CAGTAACTATTTAAACAGAGTCACACTAGTGTGATGCTGATGGACTGAGAATTCAAAGGGAAGTAAGAAATGTTGAATTTAGAACATTGCTCTAAATTTCAGACCCTTGAACAGAATTCTTTAAAAGTGCTGTTTGGAATGGAAATTGTACTGTTGGCAGTTGTTAGCAAGATATTATATAAGAGTCAATGAATAATACACTCTAAAACTAAGTTTGTAAATTTCACTTTTTATCTTGTTTTCTTTGCTTATACAAGATATTCACTCTCACAACAGCAGATGTAAGTGTTTGTCTTAATCATTCCCTTGAGGAGCAAATTTTAATCTAATGCTAAGTTTTTTACAGTAATTTTTTTCTTTGGTCTACCAGGGTTAATCAAAGTTACCACTTGAATTGTGGGGCTTGGTGACCTGGGTTCCAAATGGGTGTGAAGATGGGGTTGCAAAACTTTGCACATTCTCTTTTAATTCTGAAATGGGGCTGGAATTTGGGCAAGATAGGGGTTTAATTTGGGTTCCACTTACAAAACCACTCAAAGACTTTCATGTTGTTCTAGAGAGCTTTGTAGCAATTTACAAGACATCCAAAGTTTACACGAAGATTTAAATTCTATCTGGGGAATTTGTGAAGTCTTAAACAATGGTCAAAATGCCAAATAAGGTCTAATGATTTACCCTTGAAGATTTTCATTCATAAGAATCATCATCTTCAGTAATCGCCTCACTCTTCATAGAGCATAATCGCGAGATCACTTCCAATGAGCCATAAGTTTATTCACAGTATTTTTTGGTAAAATTTGGTATACCCAGGGGCTTGATCAAACATCAAATTTTGTGAACCCAGGGGTTTGGTCAAATTTTGTGAACTCAGGGGCTTGGTCAAATTTTGTGAACCTAGGGGCTTGGTCAAATTTGGTGAACCCAAGAGCTTAGCCAAATTTGGTGAACCCAGGGAATAGGCCAAATTTGGTGAACCAAGGGGCTTGGTCAAATTATGTAAACCCATGGGTTTGTCCAAATTTGGTGAACCAAATTTGATGGACACAGGTGCTGGTTCAAATTTGGTGAACCCAGGGGCTTGATCAATGTTGCTTTTAGAGAGCTTTGTGAGCATGCTTCTAATATCTCAGCTCTTGGTCATATAGTTTCACAGAAGATTAAAACATTCTTACTGTCAAATATTTAAGTTTCTTAACCATGGTTCAGACATATGCACAAACATTTAAGTGTAGCTAAAAGGTGTATTTTCTCATTATTTCATTTAGAAGATTTTCTTGATTCATTAGAGATTTTATTTCCCCTTTCATTTCTTTTTACCTAATTAACTATAGTCTTCTGAAATTTGTAAAGTTAGTTTCCTAAACAAGTCTATATAAAATAAAAGTAACTTCCACTTATTCATTGGACTGGGCCATTTTTGACCCTTGAGGAAAGATTTATAAAACATTTGGAAAGGTCAGTCAGTCAAAGCTTCATGTATGAGAAGATATTGTTTCACACAAGATTTATATACATGTACGTTTTCCTATACCAGTCTATATGCCAATTTAGACCATAGTGGCATTTTTTGTTTTGGAAAAAGATTTTTCTTAAGTTGCCTTGGCAACCAAAGTGTGGCAAGGAATAGGATTATTTGAACAATTTTGACAGGGCTACATGCAACGAAAATTTGTGCCCAGTCTTTGATATTGACCTAAGATGTGGTATCGAAGGATGTTGTTTGAAGAAAATTGTAAATGGGCATACTTTGTGCTATGTAATGTGAGCTCCGTCACTTTGTGCCAGCTGAGCTACAAACTATATCGACAACTTTTCATTTGTGTTATAGCAAATGAGTTGATATTTGTTAATAATGGTGTTTATAGCTGATTACGTAAGTATTTCCTTTCATAACTGCTGGTTCACAACATTACCAAAATGCCATTGAATTCTGCACAAGTCTGCAAGTGATTTACCTGCCATCAACTGCCATGTTTGTAAAGTTTATAGTTTAAGAACTACATAGTCCAATGACCTGTCAATTACAGAAATGTTTATTGGTGGCTGAGGAAAATCTGTTTTTGACAGATGCATTTATGTTTGGAAAGTTAGTGTAAGTAAAGTAAGTGTATGTGCAATAAATGTGGCAAATATAACAAAGTGATGACTAGATTAAACAGCACAAATAAAAACCTAGAGCCTCCACCAGGCATGTCCCACACTCAACTTTTTCTTACAAAGCCATAAAGAAATCAGAAGTAAATTTCAATAATTTGACCTTAAAGGTCAAGTTAAGGCCAATTCATAATGCTACTTAAAGAAAATTATGCTTAAAATATCTTTTTTTCGTGATTTCTTTTTTGTGATATGATGTCTGCAAGAAAAATAATCACACAAACATTGCCATCACAGTGTCATTACTGTCTTTTTACCTTTGAATCTGAATATTCCTTCTATACCAGCATCCATTCTTATACACAAAATTATCAAACTTGTATCAAAATGGACTTTTGTCTGCTTTAAATAACATGATTTGGTTGCATTCAACTAACAGGTTATAACATGGTCGATCTAATTAACAACAAATACAACATGTTTGTCAACAATATATTTCTGTAGCACTTTTATTGTAATAACATCAAGATTCATAAGATAACATAATAACAAATGCATCAGTTTAGATATTACAGTTATTACACTATAATAGTTTAACAATCAGAAAATGCAAACTTACCACCATTATCGTAATTCTTTCACCCACAAAAAAATCTCTACAATAATTACCTCCCTTTACAGCCATCACAAAAATCAATCAAAAATGAAAACTTGTAAAAACTTTATTTCATATAGTTTTCCTTTGTTTACACGACATATAAGGAGCTCCACTGAGGTCAAAAAGCCTAAAAACATAAAATTTGGAATTCTTACATAGATTAAGTGAAGCACACTTAAAATGGAAACCTCTGCATAGGAGAATATAGAAATATACTCGGAAGTAAATTGAATATTATTTTTCTGTGCCCACTTTGAGTAAAGAGTGAAAATATGCATTCTATTTTTTGGTAACTTTGCAGTATAAAAATTATTATTCTGCAAAAGAAAAGGGTTAGGTAATGATGTAAAAATTTGAACACGAGTAATTGGTCCAAACCTACATCAAATAGAACAAAAATCTTGGAAAAATATTTTCAGTCCCATATTGTAAAAAAACCCTCAGCAGAGTCCCTTTAACAAAGCATATAAGAAGTTTTTCTTACTGCAAACATAACTGCAGGCTTTAACCATTACGTGTCAAGTCAAACACATTCTTTGACATTTTAATAATATAGTATAAAGGGAGACAACTGTGTTTTATAACTAAATTATCCAATCACTCTTACACTGTGTTTACAACATTAAACTAAACTTATGTGACAAGAAACTAGTGAGATATATTATATATAGTACAGCATTTTTATTTTACATTTACATTTATAAATACGGTTCTATAATCTTATCTAACATTGAAAGCGTATCTTTTTGGCAAAATGTGCTTCTTACAACTTCAAACATTTGCTCTTCAATATTAGAGGAATAAAAAGTATCTATCTATCTTACTATTATACTAGTATGTGTAAAAAATCTTCCAGAATAATTTTTCTTTATAATAATATTAATAATAACTAATATTGATCTTTAAAGACCAACCCAAGTCTATATTTTATTTTCAGATTTTCTTTTAAAGTTTTAAGCTAATAAGGACATTTTGTATAATGAAGTGTCAGGAGGAAGAAGTAAAATTTAATGTGAGAAAAAATTGTTTAGTCAGTAATATGAATAATTTTAAATGTGCAAGGGAAAATATTTGTCAAAGTTGGTCTTAAAATATATATACTGAATATGTGTAATTTATAAAAGGAAAAAATCATACAAGAATCAAAATACTTAAATATCGAAATAGAAACTGTTTTGGAATTGTCTCAAATTAAAAAGAATAAATAAACAACCAAAAAACCATCCAGTGCTAAATATTCAAGTAATTTTATGAGAAAATAATATAATAAAAAATCTACAATATATTATTTGGATCAAATAGAATGAAAAAAAAATATCCCCAAAATCATTTCAATTATCAAGAGAATAAAACAAATCTTTCAAACAAAAATTTAAGGGACAGAGCTTGTCAGCAATGTATATTATTACTCAATCAATCTAATTTATTCATCAATTATCATTACTTTATATAACAATCTTGTCTTGCTTAGAATTTGGACAAGTCCTTTATGAACACAAGTCTGGAGATTATGTTCAGAGTGTGCCAATAGTAGTGGCTGGCCTGGATCAACAAAAGTACTGTACATATGCACTTGTAAGGCGCCCCCCGTCTTATAAGACGCACCCTTACTTCAGGCTCATGATTTGGGGATTTTTATGAACCCTCATATAAGACAAGGTCATATTTTGACTGGTAGTAACTTCTGTAACTTATAGACATAATAGCTCACATAATAGCATTACCATTCCAGATTCATGCAAAAATCGTCTAAATAGTAAAATCATTGTCAAGTGTACAAATAAAGTAATTTAATCTAGCCTTAAATATTTTATAATCTCAAATATTATTTATAATGTATCCAAAGATGTGAAAATAGCCCTTATATATTAGTAGCAAGGTAGAATAAATGTAGAATAAAATAGTAAAGTCAGACAAATCTCGCATGAAAAATGCAACACAGACTGAATATTAATACATTATAAAACTATTTTGTGATATTAAATAGCTGTTTTGTGTTTGTTTTTATATATGAGCCGCGTCATGACAAAACCAACATAATGCGTTTGCAACCAGCATGGATCAAGACCAGCCTGCGCATCCGCGCAGCCTGATCAGGATCCATGTTGTTCGCTTACATACCCTATTACAAGTAGAGAAACTGATAGCGAACTGCATGGATCCTGATCAGACTGTGCGGATGGGCAGGTTGGTCTGGATCCATGCTGGTCGCAAACCCACTATGTTGGTTTTGTCATGACGCGGCTCATATCAGGAAGCTTGTAGCTTTAAGACAGAATATCATGTGATGTAACATGCTACAAATCCTGGTAATACCCACATATATGCAAACATGGAAATTTTTCTTGGATTTTCAAAACAAGAATCTCTATTTATATATGTAACCTGAGTATAAATAGTAAAATAACAATATAACTTTCAAAGTAAAATTGACTTCCACTTATTGTGATATTCATAAGATCCAGGACTAAATTAGACTTAAAATAAGAACCACCCCCTACCTGATGAGTCATTTCAAATGCAAACATAAATATTAACAAGCTAGAACCAAGTGGAATCACCAGCAGCCTGGTCAACTCTATACTGTTGCCTGACAAATTTTATATTTTGATATCCCCAAAATTGATAATGGATAGTTTTAAAAATAGTTATGGCTTTCATGTTTGTAACAAGCTCTAATAATCCTATTCCTCAAATTGACATTAAAACCAGGTACATCTTGCAGTTTCATCTGTATGTAACGTGATTACATAATTACATTATTTACAAAGAGTCTATTTGTAGTTTATATGAACATACTTAAATTTGCACCAGACTCAAAATATTCTGCAGTTTACTTTTTAAAAAATCTTATTAGCAGTATAATTTTTATTTAAAAAGACAAGGAGATCATAACAATCAGAAACAAACATTTTATAGACTTAAACAACTTCATATACATGTAAATATACCTACAGTGTTTGATTATGTGAAAAGATATGCATGTTTTATAAATTCTGTATGTAACAAGTGCAAACTATACATCATTATCCTGCACCATCAGATATGTAACATTGCTTGCATATGTTTGTTTAACAATGATATTATCACATCTCATGTACAAATCAAACATCCATATAACACTGAACACTGAATACAAGTTAAAACATCGATGTGACACTGTTTTGAAATGTATCATTCAAGAATCCATTTGACCCTTTAAGCAAGTGGATCAAGCATCCATTTGACACTGATTAACATGTACAGATCAAGCATTCATATGACACTGATGTAGGTGTACAGATCAAGCATTCATATGACACTGATATAGGTGTACAGATCAAGCATTCATATGACACTGATTTAATTGTAAAGATCAAGCATTCATATGACACTGATGTAATTGTAAAGATCAAGCATTCATATGACACTGATGTAATTGTACAGATCAAGCATTCATATGACACTGATGTAGGTGTACAGATCAAACATTTATATAACACTGATTTAACTGTACAAATCAAGTATCTATATGACACTTAACAACACATAAACAATGAAACATTCATATACATTTTAATATAAAAATTCTGTTTAACAAAATCTGTTTGACACTTAACAATCTGTATAACACTAATTAGTGTATGTTGTCTAAAAACCTAAAGAAGTTTTGAAGATAAATTGTATAAAAAAAATCTGTTATAAAAATTGTTGATGATAATACATGCGTCATATAGACACAGATCAATATTGTAGTAGAATCAACTAGTGCGAAAAAAATCAAGCATCTGACTGACACTGATTCATGCAGTGCACATCTGTACGATTAAAATGAAAATAGATTTTAAAGCGTCTGTATGACACAGATGTATATCATAAATATGAGTACAGATCAATTTAACAAGACTACATTGTATATCAATATGTGTGCATAATCTATACATATATAATCTACACATTAATTGCATGTACTGATACAACAAGAAAACTATTTTATCACATAACTAGACTAGTGCTGCAAAATTGTCCTTATAAAAAAATTATATTTTGTTTAAATAACAAATCAATTCCAACAAAACTGCTTGTACTCTGTCAACACACACTCTTTAACAGGAAAAAAATAAGTATCCAAGTTTAATAAATATTACCAACTGTTGCCTAGAAACCATGATTAACAAGCATCACCATATTTTACTGAGACAAAGGAAAAGATTGTGCCATCATTTCAATATCAAAGCACACACAGACATTTCAAGAATTTCTGTACATTTTCCCTCACGCAATAGTAAATGTCAAAGGTAAATAAGTACAGTTATTGTGGAAATCTACAATGACCTTAGGAACAGAACTTCCCTGTTAACTGATCTTAATGTACACACCTTTTTTTAAATGCAGAGAGAAAAAAGAATGCTTATAAATCTAAAAGAGCAGAGGTCCAGAGATCAAAACATAAAATTTTAATTTCTTCTATAGATCAACTGGGGCACTTGAACAAGAAAGATATACAAAAAGATCATAAAGAAATATACCCAGAAATAATGTTAAAATCATAACTTTGTGCAACAGAGTGAACAAATTTTCTGAAATTTTGCACATAATTTTTAGGTCTATGCCTACATCAAATGGAACATTAATCTTGAAAAATTATTTCCAGCCTGTTATGTCAAAAAACCTCAATACATCCCTTTTAGGTGCCTTCAAATCTTCATTAAACATTCAATTGAATACACATTTTATGTTGACATTTTGGTGAAACAAATGCAAAGAAAATCCAAAAAATAAAAATTCACACTAAGAATTTATAATAATAAGACTACTTATATTATATTCATTGAAAATTACACATTTTATGATGACCTAAGCTGATGTATATACACTGAAGTGTAGCCACTTGACAGATAAAGCTATATCTCAGTAGGTGATCTTAAAACATTTATGGTATCTTATAAACTTAGAAATTTACGTGAATAAGTTTGTCATATTTGAGAGAAGTGTGTCAGTGAGATAACAATACCAGGGGTCATTAGCAAGTAGGACAATTACATTAACCTAATCTCCCATTCATTTCATATAATAGACTTGACCTGTTATGTATTTGGACCTTTCCATTTGTAGTTTGAGGGATTTCACTATCAAAATATTAAAATTCAGCAGGTGAAGAGCTTGGTCAGATAGTATTATTACCCCTCACAATTTGTGAAACATTAATTTTCCATGAGCCAATGGGAGTTATTCTTACTGATAATTAAAGTGTACCATGTGACTAAAAAAATTGTATTGAATTGTATTATATTTTATAGGAAGCAGTACTTTTTCATAGTTTAAATCTGAAAAATATAATCCTATAGAAACAGTGTCCCAATGAAGTATTTTTTCAATATAACACATAGGTTTGTGAGTAAAAGCAAAAATATCATCTCTCGTAAAATTACTGCAACTATCGACTAATGCCTTAGATAACAGTATTTTCCAAAGGAGGATATTTTTACTATTTCTCACAAACCTATGTGTTATTAATATATTGTTGCGTAGGCTTGCCAGGTTCATTACTGGTGGAATACTCGTCAACTTATACAGTGGGTGTCAACAGTGACTGATTCTAAATTCCTATATCATACACAATAAACTTTATGTTGAAACAGAGTGTGGTGGAAACCCCCAAACTTGGTGGTATTCTTCACACTGACTAAAACTCTTCAAACCACACTAAAACATTCTTTACACTTAAATTGGGTGGGATGGAAACCCTGAAAGATGCAGGCATTCTTCACTTCATTGCCTGGGTTCAGACAAAACTGCTAATTTTACTATTTCCATCTACAGGACATTCTTAGATGTTATTTTACCAATACAGAAAAAAAATTGGGGAAAAATATCTTGATCTTATCATATTCTTTTGGCTGTATTTTGTGTATTTTGTAGAAAAGCTACAGAAACAGGGTAAAAGAAATAAAGATACAGAATATATATTCTTGCATATCAGACAGGATTATCTACCATTTACACCAGTGCTAGAAAAATCTGTCTCGGGGTAACTATTTAGCCGAAACTCGGCCGAGCCTCATTACAGCTGTAAACAGTTACTGTCAAGCTAGATATTCCGGTCTGTACCAGCAGCCAGTGTAAGATTCTTAAAGACTTATTCTAAAAATAAAGAGACACTATTCTTTGTACAATGATCCCTTCTTACTTTTCGTACGTAAAGAATTAAAATAACATGCCTGAAGTATCATTATAACAGAATCATAAAAAGAAAAATTCATTTTATAGTTATGGTATTCATTTTATCTATAGTTGAAAAACAAAATTTTCTGACAAAAAAAGGAAGAATCTTAAATCTAAATTAAGAAATGCTTTTTTTTTGTACTGTAACTTGTTTTTATAAAATGTTTAATTTTCCTTGAAATATGAAAACAAAACAAAATTTACACATACAGTCATATAGAATAGATTTTCATTTTCGAAGTGTTTGACAGATTTACTTCAAAGTGTTTGCATGACAAAAATAAATTACAAACTTCTGTGCATACATTTTATACAAAATATATATATATAGATATACATATCACAAAACAATATTACACCATGTACAAATACATACAAAAAAAGTTGACAATTTTTTTTTCAAAGAACTGTACTATAACATCAATCTCCACGACTAGATATTTGGCAACAGAAATATTCACTTGTCTCATTTCCTAGCAACATTTCACTCGCAGATTTACCTCAAATCAGAACCGTTTCCATGGTTATTACATCTTAAAATAACTAAATAGGGAAATTTGTTATATATACATCGGAAATATGTTGCAAAAACTTCAGGAAATTAAAAAAAATTATGTATTATTGTGGCCCAAAAAACATATGAAAAATGTGTGCACCAATATAGAAATATTTCAATTCTTTTTATCTGAATTTAGTCCTATGTTAACATTAATTTTCTGGAATGTTTCAAACAATTCTGATATAGTTGAGTGTTAATCTGTGAATCAAATGCCACTAGAATATGTGAACAAGTGTTGATATGGCTATATAACACTGTTATATGAAAATACCACATTGACACCACAACTTTTTTTTGATAACTTTTTTATTTTTGGACACAAAATATATACTATAATAACACAACTAGTACTGGCCTTTGCAAATATGTTCTCTCTACTTTAACCAAGACTAAACTTGCTTAATTAAGGATATTTTCTATTGTTTTTTAAAGTTGTTTTTTTTTTAATTTTTCATACAGAATCCATAAGAATTTGTTTATGTTTCAAATGAAAATTGACTATCAAATCTCAATCAAACCTATATATAGAAACAGTTTGGAATGTTTTGGCCAGAAACACTTACATGGACACATATCTGTATATAATAAATTCTAACTTTCCATTTTAATGTCTGTAATACTAGTTATTACGGTCTTAAAGGAACTCCACTGAGATCCAAAAACCTAAAACATTAAATTTTGAATTCTTTCATAGATCAACTGGGAAACCTAAAATGGAAAAAATCTGCAAAGACAATATAGAAATACACCAAGAATTATAATAAAAATTGATTTCTGTGTGTTTCTTAGCCTAATTAGAGTTAAAAGTATTTACATGCTCTTCATTTTTTGGTCATTTTGCACAAAAAATAAAAATAATTGTTGAAAAATGGGGTGAGCAAATGATCTGAAATTTTGCATACAACTAATTGGTATGGACCTTTATCAAATGGTTTTATAAAAAATAAATATTTTCAGTCCCTCCGCATAAAAATGAAAGCCTCAGTGGAGTCCCTTTAAAAAACAGATCAGACATACATTATGATACCAGCCTCATGACACTGTATCATCATTACTGAAAATGTCTTACTCAACTTTACAATTCACAATTTTATATTGCCAGTGTTTGAATGGAAATATATTTTTATAAAAAAAAAAAATGTGCATAATGTAATTCATCCTCCTATATGAATATGTTGAAAAATAAAAAAAAGTGAAAAAAAACAAAACATTAATATATTATTCTTCAAAATTATTAACCACCATGATGTTTTAAATACAAAGTTAAATCAAGACATTTACACAAAAGTTCATTAACAAGTGTTTTGAATTAAACATAACTTTCATTTATAAAAATTCAAAAGTAGTAAAAGAAAAAAAGTACACATTTTTCAGTTAAAGAAAACAAAGTTCATTATCCCTTTTTTATCTTTGCTTAATAAATAGATTAAATCACATAACTTCCAATGTTTCATATTAAAAGACCCCCCTCCCCCCCCCCCCAAAAAAAAAAAATATGTCAAGAACTGTGAATGTAAAGTGTTAAATGCTATGAGAAGTCCATTGCTGTGTCCTCCATTTGGGTCATATTAACAGTCATATTGAATGGTTGCTGCTGGGAAGAGTTCGGGTAGAAATTTTGACCATCTGAAATATTGTTGTCATACTGCTGACTTTGCTGGTCTATGGGATTTTCATCTTGAACATAATTGTCTAAAGAAAATTCTTGATCACATTCTGTGTCCATTCCACTATTATCATAGTCAAAAGGACATTGATTAAAATCAAGTTCTGAAATTGGCTGATTTTGAACTTGCTGTTTCCTAAATTCTGAGGGTTGTACAAAATTTATGTAACCTGACCTCCGACCCGACAAATCACTCATAGGTTGCATTGTGAGACCTTGATTTCCACTCATATCACTCTGATTATGTACTTGATGACCTTCTCTTTCTAATATCGCACGTTGCCATGGTAACAAGTCACTTGTATTATGGCTTTCAGGCAGAACCGGCTGCTGTTGTGCTAATTTATATGAAGTTTTACGTATGATTTGAGGTCGAACTATGAGACTAGGATCACCAGTTTGAGTATGGACTAGAGCATTATTTTGTGAAACACTACAGTGTGGTGGTGAATACATATCAGTCATGCTATCACAAGAAGATTGTTGACTAGAATGTGGTGGGTACATCCCTAACTGGGTATCCAACTGTAGCTGCTGCATTTGATGGTGAAGTGGATTACCCACATTTTTCTGATGAAACGACTGACGTTTTTGCTGTAATCGATGCTGCAGTAACTGCTGTTGCAATGGCTTCGAACTCTCTCCGAACATTGGCTGCTGAACACTGTCTTGACTCACCACTCGATCCATTTGCTGTTCAAGGTGCATACTCTGTTTTATTGCTAACAGTTTATGTGGCTGAAGATCTACAGTTTCTGATGGTAAACTCATTCTTTTCATGAGTGGTCGTGGGGCCTTTTTCTGTTGCTGGTTGTCAGTCTGTCCGACGTACTGCTGACCTGGTGAGTTCACGTCTTCTGTATGATCTTGTACTAAACTACTTGGCGCCATTTTTATCCCATACACATTATGCACCTGTTGATGCTCAGTTCGTAATTCAACCATTCCTTGGCATTTCATGCTTTCTTTTAATCTCTGTCTAAATGCAATTATACCTTGGGCAACGAGACCGTCTGATGCTCGTCTCCCTTCGCGGAAATCAACAGGAGACGTGTTCTGACTTCTGTCATTTATAATGTCTTCAGTATTTTGTCCCTGAATCACTACAGAAGTGCAACCACTGGCTTGAACCATGTTACCCATTGCTGGGTCAACTGTCACTGGTGTACTACCACTTGACACTGGATATGTTATATTATTAAAACCACTAAGACTAGATACAAGATCAGCTTCTAACGACGAGTCAAAACTTGTAAAAGGAGACCCAGTTGAACTTGTCCCTAGAGACGCTAAACTTGTGTTGCTTAACTGTGAAAAATCACCAAACGCTGAGCTTGGTATTAAACCTAACCCAAAACCATCTCTCACAAAAGTCTGCCCTTTATGCATTATAATATCGTCATTGTCTCTACTGTCCATAATATCAGCTTCCACACCCTCGTCAATTGACGTAGTTATAACATTACTAGTGATGGGCTGAGACGTACAGGCACTAGTAGGCTGTGACAATACATCTTGTAAACAAACAGAAACACCAGGTATCTGTATATGTTCTATTTCATTCATGAAACTCTCTCGCCTTTGGCTCATTCCACTGTCTGTAGATTGTCCAAATTGTTTTAAGCCGACTAACTGTGGCTGATAATTAGGTCCCACTCGTAATATAGCCTGTTCAGCTATGGTACTTGGTCGTCGTCGGTGACAGTCAATCTGCTGGTCTATAGGGAAACTACTCCGATGTTGCTTCAATCTCTCCAGCAGCAGGTAGTATATGGCTGTATAGTGGTCATAAGCATCATTCTTCAACGCCTATAAAAATATAAGCCATTTGAATAATAATGAAATATTAAAGATAAAATCACGATAAAGTACAGTGTAACACTACTTCTTTACCAGCATAAGATATTAACATGGTTGGTGCCTGTTAAAATATACAATGTATAACATGATCAATTTAAGATAAAATACATACTGTATATGATATACAACCATATCCATCTCTTTATTTCCATATCAAAAAGTAACTAATAACTGGATGTAATTTTGTTACTGGTATAGGAATATTTTCAAAGGATCTCATTGTTTGGGAGTGAGCTAAAGATTGTCAGCTGTGTACGTTCAAACCCTGTCAGGGGCAAGCCTTTGTTTCCATGAGCAAGAGACATTCATGGCTTAGTACTGGTTGGTTCCAGGAACGGATTAATTAGTGTTTCAATAAACTTATAGCTTACACAATTAAACTAAAATAAATTTTTATAAACTTATGTGTGAGTAAAAATAATTTAAGGTAGCTCGCTACTTTCCGACCGAAATTTGACAACATCTCAGATCTTGATGATTTTTTGTATGCAAACATATAGATATGTGAGCTTTACTTCTGCAGTATTATTTTATAAATAAACAGCGTTACTATGACGTCAAAGCGCCCTCTATCGGTGGCGGCGAAATTGCGTCTTTTTCTCAGTAAACCAATCTGTTCTTATCATTTTTCATCCGATTTCTTTCGTTTAATTTTGTAGTCTTAAGTAAATGTACGTCTTTGTAATGACATCTTTCTTAAACATTTGCTTAATAGTCTGCGATTCTACGTCATTTTTCTCTACATTCTGATGTCCATATCTGATGCAAATTCCGCGCGATATCGCAATAAAGATTGTGTAATAAAAAAAATCAACACGGTGAACTTTGCTATAATTTTTCGAGCGTGTCGTGAGAAAGTGAAGGAAAATATTGATGCAATAAAAATATGGGTCAACGCGTAAGATATTTTGCTATTACTGTTTTAAAATAAAATAAAGTGAATGTAACGTAATGGTTTTGGTGGCGTTAATAGACGTTGGAGTTCAAAGAATAATACCAAATAACAATTTTCTTACATCAAACATTACGATTGTAAGCATAAACAACACAGGAACTTGATGAAATGTATATTTTTTAAATTGTTGATTATTTTCTCATTGAAAGCATGCGCTAGATCAGCAAATTTACAATGTTTAATCTTAAATACTTTTCTAATTTGCAGGACGCAGTCTCATACATCTTTTAATTTTAATTTTATATTTTGATGTTTGTAATGAAAGAGTGAAAAGTGTTATATTATTATATGAATTAACTAGTTTCAGCGCAAAAAAATAAGATTCACATATTGCTGTATGAATGAAGTAAGAATATTAGGTCGCTTAGCTTATACCCGTTAGAATATTTATTTTACGTTACATTCAGCTTTTAAACACTTTCATAAAATCAAATACAGGCAGACGAGCCTGGGTGTCAAAACACATCGTAAATAATGCAATTAAAATAGATATGCATACAAATGTGAAATAAGTGATAAATTAAATTCAGAAATAATATTCAAACATGTTAAGAATATTTAAAACCAAACTGTTCAAGAAACAAAAACATTTATTTTGCTTACCATTTTTAAGTATGTGCAATACATAGATTATATAAATATAATCTAATTAAAATGTCATAATTAGAAAATGACAAACTATAAAACTTTTTGGAACTCGGATTTACGTATACCTACTTACCGCTTTTTCATTACAGTATAACAAAGCGGCCCTCAAAATATTATTTATTTCTAAAGGGCTCCACTACATTTTACCTCTGTAGAGCAACCGCTAGGGCATTTCTACTGTATATTTTAAATAATTAAATACAAAATATAATTATTAAATACCTTGTGCAACTTTTGTTACCACTGAATACGAATAATGTATTATGTTGACGTTATCGTGTTCATTTTTAATACAATACAGTTTGCTTTTTATAAAACAAAACTAAAAAAATAAAAAAAAAACAAAAAAAACGAAAACACACACCAAAAACACGTGTTTATGGTGTAAACAATAAAGTGGACTTCTGCCTTATTAAGGGAGATCATAATTAGGTTTTTAACTTTGAATATTCTGTAATCGGTAAAGTGGTCTTACGCTGAATTCGGAGGGCATGAATTCGAGACACGATTGCGTATTGTACTAATAGATTATCCTTTAGAATTGTTTACTGTGTATGAAATGTTTCAAGGTCCACCTCGGACTCCTGTCATTTATTAATGTAGAGAAGTTGATACTGTGAGAAACACTGGTTTTGTTAAATTCCCTCAGCTATAATTGAAATACTGTTGAAAGCGGCGTTAAACCCAATATTGAAAAAATAAGAAGATATAAAACATAAACTGCATAGTTCATTATTTTCATAGGCTCTACATAGCACTGTATTATGTGCAGACAAAAACGAGCTTCTCCCACCACCATATTCACACAAATTGAGGATCCTACATGATCGTCTTCAATACAAGGGAATCTGTATTAATTTTAATATGCAAAATTCTCCGCTTATGAACATACAAAATAAATCAACGGATCTTTCGCCTCGAATCGAGAAATGATCGCCTCAAAGATGCGCTAGTTCACGCATACCGCGAGTCAGCGAGTTTTAAATAAATAAGAATATCTGTAATTATGTGAAATACGTATAGCATGAGAACGTGATTCCTCCTTTAAATCTGAGTCTCACGCTTAGTGCAGGGATATTATTTACTAGTATTTAGCTGCGAGAGAAAATAGAATAACTGATGGCTGTTAATAAATGAGCCGTGTCACGACAAAACCATCATAATGGGTTTGCGACCAGCATGGATCCAGATCAGCCTGTGCATCCGCGCAGTCTGATCAGGATCCATACTGTTCTCTTTTAAACATTTTAACAAGTAGAGAAACTGATAGGGAACAGAATGGACCCTGATCAGACTGCGCGGATGCGCAGGCTGGTCTGGATCCATGTTGGTCGCAAACGTACTATGTTGGTTTTGTCGTGACGCGGCTCAAATAAATTTTTATACGAGTAGAAAAGTTTTAAAATAAATGTCTGCTAGATTTAAATAATTAAGACTACCAGTGAATCATGACTTACGTACAAATCGTTGTTAATTAATTCGAGTTGATCTTACATTTTTAAAACGTAAATTTGATTCATTTCCTACTAACTGATATATACAATTCGAAATTGTGACATACGTATGATAACATGGAAGTTTATGTAGTACCGAGATACACATAACATGATGACACCGCGACTGCACCAGCCTTTTCATTCTTTTTTTCTAACATTCTTTGCAAAATTTATGTTTGTATTATTTCCACTTAGGTGGCCTTTTAATTATATCTTTCAATATTCTGAATTGTCTTTCAGTCCTCGAGGTATTTATATCCATTTGTTGCAGTTTTTTAGAGATTGATACAAACTTTTGCAGACAGCCATACCCTGATTTGTTGTACATGTATATAATTGAAGTTGTTCATCGAAATGCGGGCACCTGACAGGACTTTTAAAAGAACATTTTACGGAATATGTCTAAATACAATTGTTGTTGATGGTTTTCACACATCTTAATTCCAGTCAGTATACTATTCATCGGAAAAGTCGTGACAATTTCCTTGAGAAAAATATTTGACGTCACCAAAATCATTACGTTTTACTCATCCTTTATCTTATATTAAAATAGTAATAGCAAAATATCTTACGCGTTGACCCTATATTTTTATTGCATAAATATTTTCTTTCATGACTTCACTACAAGTTAAAAAAATTATAGCAAAATTCACCGTGTTGATTTTTTGTTATTTTACAATCTTAATTGCGATATCGCGCGATATTTGTATCATAAATGGACGTCAGAACGTGGGTTAAAATAACGTAGAATCGCAGAGTATTAAGCAAATGTTAAAGAAAGACATTATTTCAAAGACATACATTTACTGAACATTATAAAATTAAAACGAAGGAAATCGGATGAAAATTAATAAGAACAGACCGGTTTATTGATAAAAATGACGCCACCGATAGAGGGCGCTTTGACGTCATGGTAACGCTGTTTATTTGTAAAATAATGCTGCAGAAGTAAAGCTTACATATCTATATTTATGTATACCAAAAATCATCAAGATCTGAGATATTGTCAAATTTCGGTCGGAAAGTAGCGAGCTACCTTAAAACAATAAGCTGGTTAAAATTTATTAGTATGTATTTATAAATTAAATTTGCCGTGATGTTGTGCTGCACCTGACCAATTAAATTGTGTAAATACAAACTAATAAACTTTAACCTACACTTAGCATGGTAAGGTTTAACAAATCCTGAATCTCACCTCCATTGTTTTCTGTTGACTAATACCCAAACTTTGCATGAGTCTCAGAATCTGTTCATTATATTCACCAACTTTAGGTCCATATCCCATCATTGGGCTAGGTGGGGCAGCCTTAGGTGCACCCCCATCCATTTGCATCCATTGATGATTTTTAATCTGTTCCATGGTATAACGTTTACCAGGCTCCAATACTAACATTCGTCGTATCAAATTTTCACATTCTGAAAAAAAAAAAAAAATTAGAATAATTGTTTCTACAGTCAAATCTATTAAATATAGCTGCAATTTATAGCTTTTACTAAATAGTTTGCTCCAATTTATTGATCCAATTGACAAATATGTAAGCTCTTTATCTCCCAGTTTTACGAAGCTTTTTCTAAAAGTGACCCATCTAGGAGTCATTTTTATCCTCATGGCAAATTTTCTGTAGAGGTCTTGTAGAAAATGCAACATGCTCAATTGCTTATCGCTGGAATTAAAGTTATTTTGTACATTTAGACTATGCAACTAAAATGACCCCTAGAATAAACTACTCTAACCCTCATACATGATATTAACATTTAGCAAAGGCCAACAAGACCATGCCATATGTCAAATCTTAACTCCATGGCAAAAAATTTAAATAATTTGTTCATGTTATTCTAGGTAAACCCAGAAGCAGGACCAATTCTAACCTATCTCTTTGGAAAAATAACAACTACACAATGTTACATCAAATATGGGTCTTTTTTTAGATTTCCCATAATCTTCAAATGGACCTGACAGAAACCATTTATCTACTTTTAGTAGAAAACCATACTTATGATCATGATTAAATTTCCTAAAACTCTACAAAAGAGTAAATTACTTAGCAACACTCCATTGCTATGGTGATATATTCTTATACAGAAAAGTAATAAAAGAAAACGATATTGGAAAAATTGTGTGAATTGTATTAACAAAGACTAGAGAATGAATCAGTTCTGGACACAGTTGTGTAACTGGTAAACTTTTTGAAAATCTGAAGTGACCATTTTTTAAATTGGGTTTTACGTTTGCACAGCTATAAAGGGTTTACATACCTGATGACATAAAGAATGGAATCCTAAATCTTCCCGACAGAACACGGAACCTTAAAATTTGCAGATTTTGTCCATCAAATGGAAGAGCACCACATACCAACACATATAACACCACCCCAAGACTCTGTAAAATATAAATAATAATACAAAATTATAATATCATCAAATGGTCAAATACCATACATCAAAACGTAAAAATAAAAACCTCCCAAGTCCCTATCAAATAAAAATGATACAAAAACATCATCAAATGGTAAAACACCAGACAACAAAATGTACAAAAAAGACCACAAAAAAATATAAATGATACAATAAGATCATCAAAATTTATGGTAAAGTATAACATACAAAAACATCACCACAATAAAATGCTGGTATATATTTGTTCAACAAAGTCTCCATAGCACTTAACAGCTCTAACTCAATTCTAGACCTTTCTTCAGAATAAATCTCCTGACCACTTGATTTATGGCATCAATTTTATCTCATCAACAATCTAGGTCAGCTTTCTAGATCAGCTTTCTAGGTCAGACAAACACAAAAATAATGAAAACACATTTAATTCTTTCTTTCTTTCCAACAGTAATGATTTTTCAAGTTCAGTAAGGGAAAAGAAAATGTCAATGTCCCAAGGGAATAAACATAGGAAAATGTACAGGCATATCTATAATATGCTTGTTTTAGTGTTAAAGACATATAAATTATAATGATAACTCATCATTACCCATATATCGATTTGGGGACCAACATATTTTTTGCCTTCAAAAACCTCAGGAGCTGCATAGGGAGGGCTGCCACAACCTGTTGCCAGTGGCTCTTTTCCCAGTTGAAAAAATTACCAAAACCGAAAATCTGAAAAATAAATATATATAAATATGTAGGCATTTAAAATCTGCTGTGTATCACTTATTTTGCACAAATCAGCACAATATAATCTTTTTTTTTACATAATTATAAAACTACAGTAGCACTCATAATCATATTTATATTTTTTCTATCTCAAAAATGCACTTGTTGATTTTGCAAGTACTATAAGTCGTTTATGAGGAAAGTAAAATATGCAACATAAAAACTTCAAGTTTCAACGTAACATTTGTCATATATCTACTCCCACATTGATGTGACAAATCTTAAAAAATTTATAACAATAAACTATACAATAAGGTATCTTCAAATTGATATTACAATATTCTCAAAAGGTCAACAATATTTCTTGATCTTGTTTGAAAACTTGTCTTCATTTCTAATAATAAGGTACAATTTTGTGATTTTTTTTGGTAATAAAAAGATTTTCATCCTTTTATTTATGTAATGGGCACATCCTGGTTTGAACTTGGAAATAGTAATTTACTGATCTCAGTGGTATCAACTAAAGTTCAAAATACAAATATTTAGATAAAAACATGTGTCTCTAAAAAATTCTGACTTTTTTTTTTCCTCAAAAGAAAAGAGAAAATAAACAACAGCAGAATGAATATATATTTCAAATTGACATTAAGTCAGATATTAAGTCCTATAATCTGGTTGTTTGTTCAATTTGACTTCAAATTTATTAAACAAGAGCTTGGATGTTATTTTGCATTTTTTACAATATACAGCATAAAAATCTTTTAATTCAAATATCCTTATTAGGCATATTAATATCTCCTCCTACATATTATATTTCTTGTCTGATTTTATATTTTCCT